GCCAGCCTTTCGTGGATTAGAGTTTCTGAGATTCAGAGATTGGAAAGGAATGGGAGGAGGACAAGGATTACTTCTCCAATAACCTCACTCACACGACAAAACACAACGTTGTGGTTGTTGCACGCCGGTTTTCTGTGGGGCCACGGTATCACTCCTGTAGAGCCGACCCATTCGTGCCGAAGTATACCTCTCCGACAATTCAAATTTGCCAATATTTGAGCAAATAAAAGTGGGCATTTTCCTACAATCCCAATCGTTATATGAAATTTCGAGTAATAAAGCAGTTGAAAAAGGACCCAATTTTCACTTTAATATAAGACCTAGTTTTGAAAAGAAAACTACCCAAGTGGTATCAGAAGGCAAACATATGTTATAATTACATACATACATACATGCGTTCATAATACTGGCTTATCTTGTATTGTAAACTTAATTGAGGCGCAATGACGAAATCCGTGTCAAGTGTTTAATAACAGTATTTTTTAGGCATTTGGTAATCTACGGAATTATCAAAATTGCATTATATTATAGCCGGCGCCTATACCTACCTACATAATATGTATGTGTATTTTAATTTTATATCATCAACATCGAAGCAGCATTATTTGACATTATATTAGTGAGTTTGTCATTATCGTCAAACCTGGTACGCGGTTTTATAAATGCCCATTTATTGCTTTTATGCATATCACAATCAGGTAGGATTTCATTTTCCCAACCACAATTCCCTATACACAAACCCCTAACAAACTGACAACCCACAAAAGGCAGGCAACGGCCTTGCTACGGCATTACAGGTTGTCGATGGGCGGCTACGGTTGTTTACTATCAGGAGATCAGACTTATATATTTCACCAGTAACATTATGAGTTTCACATTATCAATATTTGAGCCAATCACTCATCTGTTGTTGGAAGTTTTTAATAGGACCAGATAAAGGTTCTTGTCTCTAAAGCACAGTATCATTCGACATTTTCAAAGACAATTTGTTAGATTTTTTTTTCAGACGTTACCTATCCACCTCCGATCGCCGTGAAAAATGTTTACATAAGAATTATTTAAGGCCGTACGTGCTCTTGGAGACACTAAGAAATCTTCGGATCTTAAGTAAAGCTATCCATACACGGATAACGTTAAGTGTTCGCATGTGTTGTTCCAAACGCGTTCATTTAGTACCTAGATATATTTTTTCGGTTCACGTTCGCATGGGAGAGCTACAGATGCGTTAACGTTGTTTTAAAATTGAAAGTAAGGCTTTTCTTGAAGATTGAATTATTATAATTCAATCTAATATGTTTCCTATAAAGACATTGTTAAAACGGAAAGGCCAGCCAATCCTTCTTTCACTCCTCTTTCCGTAGTCATCTGGAGCTAAGTGTGAGAGAGCCATGCTTCCCAACGAATGAGCCGGCTCGACCGGAATATTACATCTTTCTTCTTCTTTCTTTCCGAGTTATATGTACTTTCTATTACTATTTAGAAGCTACAAACACAGGGTGAAGGAAAACATCGTGACGGAACTTCATTTGATATCGCCAATCAGCGTTGAGCAAGTATGTATGGCTCAAACATTCTCCGTGTGAGAAGAGGTCTTTGCTCAGCAGTGGACACTTCATCATCATCATCATATCAGCCACACTGCTGCTGTTGTCCACTGCTGAACATAGGCCTCCCCCATTGACTTCCAGATAGGCTGGTTGGAAGCGACCTGCATCCAGCGGCTTCCTGCGACCTTAATCAGGTCGTCTGTCCACCTTGCGGGTGGACGTCCTACGCTGCGCTTGCCGGTACGTGGCCTCCACTCGAGAACCTTTGAGAGTGGACACTTATAGGCTGATGAAACTAGAGTACACTTTAAAGAGTTTATTTTGCCATAAAATATTTATAACACTGATAACAACTTATGGTCAGTATTATAAGGACTTGTCGTTATTTCTATCGCTAATAGAAAATCAGATTTATATTGCAAATATAAGATAACAAAAAGTGAAATCAGAAACTTGTCACTTTGAAGTTTAGTTATGTGCAGTGATTTGGCCACCATCACGCCTTGGGGTAAGCTATGATGCGACCTACGATGGAGCACGCCTACCCATAAGCAACCTATTCACTCAGGCGTTGAAGACCCTCAAGATATACAGGAAACACAGACTCTAACAAAGCATTACACTCCTTAGCAAATATGATAATAAAACTGCAGGTTAACCGCTTCAGGCGTCAGGGTGAGGAGAAAATCATCAAATGACTTCTCCCGCCCAGGGACGAGCGTAAGGGAGCGTTAGAATCTTCGGCCGTATGATTGGGATAAACAGCATGAAGAACTACCACAATATTTATTGCTAATCATAAAAATTGGTAATTAGCAAGGTAAGTTTAAAAAAATAAAATAGAATAATTTTAGCTATAAAACCCTTGAGTTATTTCATGACGAAAAGAGTACTCACCATACTTTGTACATGTATAAAAAATATTAAAAATATCTTTAAAACTGTCCTACAAGAATCTGTTACTATTGATGAAGTAAAAAATCAATCTATAGTTTCAAAATTGAATAACTATTTAAGGGAATTGTAAAACATTATCAACGGATCGTAGAAAATGAGAAACTAAAATATACAATAGCCACTTATAATTCTAATGACAGGAAAAATACAGAAAATATAAGCAATTATGATTATTATCAAAGATAAGGCAAAATAGAGCAAAACACCTGTGGGTAGGTAGTTTTTTTTTCAATCACAAATTACTATGCTAAATGATGTACGAAAATGTAAATTGTAATGATATGCATCAGTACTGACCTTGGACGTTATGTAATACATACTAAGATTACAGTATAATGAATAACAGTAACAATAATGTTTTTAATTTATTGTAAGCTAGCGACCAGGCCCCTCCTTCGTTTCGACTTTTTTTTTTTAAGAGAATGTTGCCTTGTTGTTGACTTGGACCGTCATTATTTAATTTTAATGTTATTTATTATACATATAAAAACTCCCCTTAGATTCCTCTAACTTTAAAAAAAACACATCTAAATCCGATGCCTTGTTTCAAATATTTAATCCTACATAGGGATATAGGGACAGAGAAAACCACTTTGTTTTATTCTATGTAGTGATTTAGTGATATAGCTTTACACAAGCATGAATAAGAGCCATATTGTGGCTTGAAACTAATAAAATGGAAACTCTTTCATAGCATAAAACCATGTCTTTTAGTTACTAGTTGGATAATAACTTCAATATGATTCAGTTATACTACATGCCCATGAGACACCATTCTATTACTGAAAAAGACCTGAAAATCAACAACATTTTTATACTGCTATTATATTTATTAAGAACTCACTGACACTTCTATCTCCATACTGAACTACTGAACTTGACACTTATGTTTTTTAACAACAATTATGTTTTATATATAAGAAGAGAACATTTTAGACACAGGCTATGTATACTTGATATTAGCTAATTATATTCATTCATCATTTGTAACACTTTACTGTGATAGCATTACAATATATGTATTATATTTATTTATTTATTTAAATATTTACAAAGTAGGAAGGAGATGTTTATGTACACCTGTTTTATGTACATACATAAATATTCATAGACATAGTAATAACTTATGAATATTTATTTAATCATTTAGTTAACAGTTGTACAACTTAGAAGCACAATGTATGCATTGTTATGAGTAAATTAAGTAACTACATTGACAATTGTTTTTTAATAAAAAATAAATACCTATATAATATAGTGGATTGGGTTAAAATGTTATCTGTTATCCTAGAATGACATTGTAATCATTACTCTTGTAGTTTTGTACTCGAAATAAACTATGGTAAAATTACCTATTTCAAATTAATACACTAAATTAAATTCTTCTATAGGTAAACTCCATCCAAAGGTTGTGTGTGTGAAATTTCTTTTAGCAATAAGACCAACTGTCTTTTGTGTTTGCTGTTTCCTGTCTTTTTTAATATTATTATGGTGTACAATAAAGAATATTCTATATTATTTGTTAATATTGATGTCAGGTTGAAATACAACTTTGGGTTTGATATTTAGATACAAGTTAACTGCAACAGTTAAAAACCAAAACGCTTACATATAAAGTTTGATAAATTGATTATTTTGTATGGTTTAGAAATGTTTTTTTTTATTATTTGATTTTTTGGTTTATTATCCTGCAATCTGTTACTAGAAAACATTCATTCGGTCATTCATTATTTGGATATGAATATGAGTAATAGGATTGGAACTACAACAGTATAAAGATAATTCATATTAACTGTTTTTAAATGTATTTTTCACAACACAAAATACCAAATTTCTCATAAGTAGTGATAGTATAGTATATTGGTATATCAAACTGTACAATCAACTTGAGCATATTGTACATAAAATTATTTATTTAAATTAGACATACATAATATGTAGGACATTTTACATAAGCCACTTGAGATGATGTAAATTGTAAATATTACAAAACAGCATATTGAGTGACATCACTGACCAATTACTACATCATAAGGCTGTATAATGCAGTACCTTGGTACAACAAATTGGTAATCTACCAAAGAGGTTTTAGCCTTAGCCTTCATTAATATTTGTAGTAAATAAAAATAAATATGACCAATGGTATCACAAAAAATACAGCCTTAGGTTTTATTAGAGTAAAGGATTGAATTACCACTATTTTAATCCATGAGTTAGTATTAAAAATATATGAATACTCGTGTAAACTGCGTTAAGTAGTGAATAGTTCTATAGTACCTTCCAACACTTTGAAAATGACAGAAAAATAAATTTAAAGCTTATCATATTCAAATTAAACTAACACGATAATTTATTGATATCAGAACCGCACAAAAATAACATTTAGTATGTTCGTTTATTATATTTATCATTCGTAACTTTGAAAATCTTTAAATACGCGCAAATAGCAGAAAATAGAGCAATTCAAAATTTAAAAAAAAGTCTCTGAGATCTTACCTTCGAAACTGCAGCATCCATGGTTGTCGCTTTAAAATATCACTTTACGAGGTAAAATGGAATTAAAACATTTTAATTTGTACGTCTTACTATAAAAAAATAAATTTCATCGAATAATTTTCACAGTTTTTTGGCAATCGTCAATTTCCACGATTCTTCTTTCTATTTACTAGAACTACCACAGATTAAATAAAATAACCCAGTGACATGTTCTGTCAGTCATCTTGTGTCAAATTAAATGTCAAAAGACAAAAAGGGAAGTCCAGTTGCGTAAATTACTAAAATTATTAACTTTGTTAACGTCTTTACTATTTGTAAAAACAACAAATGATGTTGTAAAACTATGCCTAATTTGTGTTTAATCTTGAAAAGTTATAAAAAGAAACAGCAGGTATAAATAAAAAAAATATTTACTCGATTTTAATCAACTACCTTCATTGTCTTAATTTGAGTTCTTTTAACTTGAGTGTCAGAAGAATAAAAGTGAAACTGATTAATTTTATTAATATAATTTGTGTTGACTTTTTACTACAATGGAAGTAGAGGCAGAAGACAGGGTGAGAAAGATTTTGTGAACTAGTCAAGCGATCCACTCGAAATCTTTAAAAACTATTCAAGTTCTCTTTTTAAGTCTTTAAAACCGTTGGGTTAAGTTTTAAACTAATGACTCTTGTTTTTCATTTCAGGAAAGTGTTAAAAGACACAATAGTTTTACAAGTCCGAATATTAAAAGAGCTCCTGTAGCTAAGCGAGTTGGACGAGAACGTTGTCACAGTTACCATGCACAGACACCTAAAGCATCAAAGAGCACTGAAAAAAATCGAATAGAAGTACCGAGAGTGTGTATTTAATGAAATAATTGACTATTTCAATGTTTTTCAAAGGATAAGTTTTGTTACGGTGTTGAAGAAAACATTTTAATTATGATCGCATCCATAGCAACCTCATTTTGACAGTAATTTGACGTTAAGGAGTCGCGTTCAAAAATAACGAATCATCAGTATAAAAGTAAATTAAAAATTAGCTTTAAAGTATGTAAAATAATTATTTGAAGTAATTAAATGATTCACCAACTATTAATAACTTCGTACACATCCATTACAATATTATTCTGAACATATAGAGAGAGATTATCATCACTAAAAGTAGTGACTGCAGGCATTACCAAATATGGAGTTTGCTCGTTTTCCCAACCGTCCTCCCTTCGATCCTTAGTAGCTCTCAGTTTTATTTTCTTTTAAACAATTGTGTTATATTCAAATGTTTTCATTGCATTTTCTAGTGAAACAATAATATTTTCTTCTTTATAATTAAACGTGAGTTTGAGTTCTTTTAAATTGTAGTGTCAAAATATAGGTCATAGTGGTGTATAGGTTATGTTAGAAGTGAAATAATCGGATAGTTGTTGTTTGTATTGTTGTTTAACTGGTTACTTTTCGCGTTACAGATGTCGTTTAGGGTGGTGCGCAGTTCTAAATTCCGCCACGTTTACGGGCAGGCCCTGAAACGTGAGCAATGTTATGATAATATAAGAGTGTCAAAAAGTTCTTGGGACTCTACTTTCTGTGCGGTGAATCCTAAGTTTCTGGCTATAATCGTCGAGTCCGCCGGCGGAGGCGCCTTCATAGTACTGCCACACAATAAGGTGAGTTTATTTCATTGAACACTCCACTCTTTTCTCACAGATTGAACTGTAAAAAATATTTGCTAGATTACTCCTAATATAACACTGAAAATATTATATTGAGACGCTTAGTCATGCCTTGCTGGTTTATAAATAACTAGTTCTGGACATATTTCTTGTGTATAATCCTAAGAAAGTTTTATTACTAAAGTTTTTCTTGGTAAATCAACACTTTTCAAGTTGATACATATTATTGAATTGGAGGAAAACTTTTACAAAAAATATTATTGAGTCAAAATTATCACAAACATCTTATTGATTGTTATCAACCTACTTCTATGATAATGTGGTCTCAAGTTACCATTCCAAAATTACATTTAATTTTGTTTAAATCTAAAGATTTTTAGGTATCCATATGCTATCAATATTATGTCAGTCTAAAAAATGTGTGATGAGATCAACAATAATCTCATAAGCTATAAATGTATATATATATCCAAAGAATTTTTTTCCTGATTAGATTACATATTTTAAAACTAGCTAAAACCACCTGTACCATACAGTTATATATGTATTGTCTTGTATCAACAAGTATCAACTGTCTTTGCACATTCTATAATTTATTCTTCATAAACTTTAAATATTCAAAATTGGAATTCTGTTTTTTTTGAAGATGCTGGACTATATGTTATGTCGTTATTTATATACTATAACATCTATACTATATAGACGTTATTTCTAAGATGTTTAAACCTGTCCATTATTATCTTTTTTATATGGTGCTAGTGATCACACTGTAGACACTTTACAATTATCATCCTTTAATAAAAGTAACTGGGTTAGTTGAATAAGTTTTCCTCACATTATCTGTCCTGTTCTCAACTACAAGTGAAGCAAATTTTGAATTAAATATTGAGTGCTAATTATGCACAAATAAGTTCATTTATGAAATCAGCAACCATTAACTATCCAAATACCTTTTAGATGTGAAGTGTTAATGAATATTTAATTTAAAATTACTGTGCAATTTTTGCATTGCATACAATACTTTTATATCCTAAATCTCTCATTTTAAAGTAAATTTGGTATTTTTTGCTGGAAATCAGTAAATAGATTGCTTTATCAATAGCTGATGCATGGATTTCATGAATAATAATGTAACTCATTATCTAATCAACTTGTGACTCAATGGGTGTATCCTGAACGCTCAGAATTCATGTCTTTATTACCAATAGAACATGACAATGCAAATTAGTCTCAAAATTGTATCTTAAAATTATTTATATACTAATTAGTTGGGTGACAGCAGCAAGAAGACTGAATAATATTAATTAATGTGGAGCAACTGCTTTGCCCTTTACATTTCACTATTTATTTATTTATTTATTATAAGGTAGGCTCACAGCTTATGTATACAAAGTGGTTTAAAGTATTGGTTATAGGCAGTAGGTCATATACATTAGCCAGTTACGAGTTAACCAACATTCTGGTTTCGGACTATTAATAATTCATAATGACTATCTTGTGTTTCTAACATCACATGTTCACATGTAAGCAAGAATATCCGGTGAACATAGGATGTTGTAAATGACCTTCATTTCACAATGAACCAGCCTGAACTATACAATACATCTTTGTCAGGGTTTCATACTTCCTTGCCACACTCATTAAAAAAGATGCAATGATTATACCAGTGACAAAAAAACAAAAAAATATTGTAAATTTATTTGTACAGTTCCATTACAATTACGAATGTTAATTGATCACAAATTAGTCTATAATTACGGTAATACATTCACTGTATCTGCGCTGGTAATATGATAATCAGTGCAATAAAGATTGTTTCGGTTTTTTACTGTTAGTGGAGATAGTCCGTTAAAGTGTATGAGTCAGTTTTGTGAATGCGTGTGTGGAACTAACATTTTAAGAAAAAGTGCAATATTATGAGTTTTTTTCATGGTTTATGATGCAGCAAACACTTTTCTTAGTGTCCTTCATAGGACAATGACTGGACTTCTTTCTTGATTGATGATGAATTGCATTAGTAAAAATGTTTTTTATTAACTAAGCAACTACATAGTTATATTTGCAATAAACTGTTATTTAGATGCTGGTTATGCTTTTAGGCTATTATCATTATATTTGTCCTTATTATTAAAGTAAAAATGTATAGCTAAATGTCATATACATATACATTTAATTAACTATCTTCTCAAGAAACCATTTCTATTAAAAGTAGTCATACTATTCCAAATTTGATTAAATAAGTGGCTGTTCCTTGTCTTGAATTGTCTTAAACAGCCTTATTACAAAACAAGGTTTTACTTAGTCTAGGACTAAACCATTGAGCCAGATTTTGTATTTCAAATTGAAGGTAGGTAGATGAGAATAAGATTCAAAATTCAAAACCCAACTCAATGGTTTAAACCTGGACTAAAGATAAATCTTGTTTTGTAATGAGGGGGATAAAGTTTATTACTGTACCAGAGCAGTGAACAACAATGCCTTTTAGTATTTTAGTTTTCAACTAGGAAATCTTAATAATGTGAGTGCTACATACAAATCCCAGCTTTATTACCTCTTGGTAACATCTATTTTTCTAATTGTCACGTTTTATTATTTATCTGAGTAATGTAGCAAGTACCTCATTTGTTTAGTTATCACTGTTTATATATGTATGTGTCTTTAAACATATTATTATGTACTAATAATGTATATAGATATTTGTTTTCCTGGTCACTATGATGGTATTTTATCTGTTTGTATTATTCTGCCCTTTTAAGTTTTAATGTGTCTTTCCTCAATTAACATAGGTGATAAATATTTAATACAGTTTACTACCAATGAAACATAGGAAATCCTTTATTACATTCGAAAACAGTTTGATATCAACAATTAGGAAAAAATAAGGCAAGAGTTTTTGAGTACCAATGCCATAAAAATGCGAATTGTCTTTGGTGCTACACCTAGAGAGAGTTAGATTTCGTTAGAAAGTGAGAGAACAGAAAGTGCACCTGTATTTGTGCACTATGTGTAATATCTTCTATGTAGTGGGCTAGTCCAATCGAATTGACTGGCCAACATAATCGAATTCTAAGCCTTTATTTAGTATTAAGACCAATTTCATGAGTCTTACAAAAACAGCTTATCATAATGGACATCAGCACAACATTCCCTTTCTTCGTAAAACGTTTTTATCAATCGAACAATGCGTCAAATAGAGGCGACAGATAGAGTTCATTGTGCAACAGATACGGATAAACAATGGTTGCGAACAATGCGCGTACGCATCGATGCAAAAACAACATGGGAATGATAAGTTTTTGTTGAGCTATTTTTATAAATACTTTTAAGGTTATTAGGTTTGAAGAGTATTGGGTAATTGTAGAAGTTCTTGGGTGATTTAATTTAATAATTTTTTCATTGTTGAAGACTTTATTTGACAATTTGGAATGAGCACCTAGCTTCACAGACGAACAGACTGACAGACTACTATTTTGACGTTTCAAAAGTACCTATTTATGGTTTAGTTGGAATAAATGATTTTGACTTTGACTTTATTCCTAAGTCCTTTTTTTATGTCTGGGGAAAAT